GAGAGAGAGAGAGAGAGAGAGAGAGAGAGAGAGAGAGAGAGAGAGAGAGAGAAGGAGAGAAGCTTTGGTTATTATCCTTGAAAGCAGTGTCATCCCTGTTGGAGGAAGCAGAGGATGCTCCCTGACTAGGTACCAAGGTTGCCCCAGAAAGACTCAGCATTTTTTGAGGCATTGCAAAATATGTACAAGGTTTGGGGGAATTCATGTCCTTTTCAAAGCTTTTGAGAAGGATGGGGATCTTGCCTGATTAACTAAGCAAGCATTATAATTCATTAATTGCTTGGTTTCATTATAGGTCTTCTTTTCATTGCCTTTATTTTCAAATAACATAAAAGTGTGTGTAAAATACATTTTAAAAGCATTCAAAGTGGCAGTTACATTTCTGGTCTTTTGGGAATGAAAGAAGCAGTTGTGCTTGGTGTGAGTGTCAGGGCCGGGGAGACTCAAACTCCTCAGGTGGGGAGGATGGGCCCTGGAAAACTGGGCTTCCAGATATTGAGACGGTGGAAGCAGAGAGGCTTATGTCAAGGTAGGTGTTTTCCAGGTGTTCAGGCAGACTCTGAGAATAGCCAGGATCTGCAGCTGCCAGGAAAGAGTGTATGATAGGAGCTCCTGAAGCCATCCAATTCGGGTACGACTCTTGAACTCATGATGCAGCATTGAGAGAGAAGAGCTAGCGAACTAGAGGGATAGACTTTGGAGAAGAGGCTTGCCTGCCTCCAAAAGGGCCCTCCCAGAGGGAGAGGGCACAGGTTACTCAAAAGGAAGGTTCTTGGAAATAGTTACTAGACTGGGTTCAACAAACAGTTCTGTGCATGCTCAGATGCTCATTTTGTGGTGATAGTGCTTACCAGATGTATTTTGGCAAAGAATGGGCTGATGTTTCAAAAGTACAAATGTCAAAAACCAGCTCTTGTCATGGCCCTCTTCAGAGGGATTTCTTCTATAAGCAGGTAAATTCATGCCTGCGTTATTAAGATATTAATTTGGAAATTGGCCTATAGAAAAGCATTTTGAAGAGGAGTACTCACTGTTTACTTTTTCTGTGGAAAGCAGGGGGAAAGAAAGAACAGTGGTTTGAAAGTGCAAGAAGGAATATTTAGCCTAAGCATGAGTAACAATTTGTTAAGCCTGTCATAATAAGGCCAAGAAGCATAACATCAGTTCTGGAATGCTCCCATAAATATCTTCCAGAAAACACTGGATAGGACTCAAGGGCACTTAAGCATTTTTTTTTTACTGCAGTCCTAAATACACTTACTAGAGAGTGAGCCCTAATGAACACAGTAGGACGTAATTCTAAGTAAACCTGCCTCAGTTTGCAATGTTAGAGCAGGGAAATGGTTCAGATTAGATGCCTATAAGAACTAGCTGTTGTCCAGTTAATTCATGTATTGTGGTGTTGCATGCTCTTGAGTATGTCAGTTCACATTGATAATGACATGTGTGATTCTCCAAATACTTTGTGCTCCAGAGCGGCATTCCCAGTTTGCATTTAGGCATCTGTATCACCAGCCTTTCCCTCCAGAGCATGAGACACACAGCATTTGTGTTGAGAATGATGCTGCTGATTATAATAATGACCCTAATCATAGCCCCACTTACTTCCTCCTGGGGCTTGCTTTTGACCATATGTGCGTGTGCGTGCACACACACACACACACACACACACACACACACACACAGACACAGACACAGGCAGAGAGAGAACATATATAGAGTTGC